GAATGAAACGTTAAATATTGGAAGGTGATCACTGATATCACTATAAATTAAGCCACTAAGGTTAGGACAATTAAACGAATTAGAAATAATGTTGTCAAGCAGGCTGACTGAGGTATTTGTAACTCTGGATGGTCGGTGAATAAGGGGAAGATAATGATTGCTGAAAAAAGAATTAACAAAATTACGCGCGTGATTATTAAGTTCATGTTTGAGGATGTCGATGTTAAATCACCAAGAATATATGCAATGCTTTTCAAAGCGAGTGGAAAGGACAACAACAATTACGAATGACTGCCATGAATTTTGTGTATTTACTTGTCCTCTGTTCCAAGTCAGCGGTGGCGCCAGAAATTTGCCGAAAAAAGGGTCCGACGTGTCCGACGGAGGGGTCCGAACCGAGGCGACGACGAAGCCTCGGTCGATGGCCCGGGGGAAAAAATCCCAGTTAGGGTTCATGGGGAGAGTTTTTATGGCTTAACTTGGTACTTTGATAAATTTTTGAATTGGCGCTATATAGGCCTAAGTATTTGTTGTTGTTATTATTATTATTATTATTATTATTATTATTATTATTATTATTATTATTATTATTATTATTATTATTGTTATTGTTATTGTTGTTATTGTTGTTATTGTTATTGTTGTTATTATTGTTGTTATTATTATTGTTATTATTATTATTGTTATTATTATTATTGTTATTATTATTATTGTTATTATTATTATTATTATTATTATTATTATTATTATATGTGCTTTTAGACCACAATATCTAGGATTGGCAATAAAAATAGCGTTATTTGGATAGGCAAGTTATTCTTATTGTTTTAATTTGGTCCTACGACCTAGTCGTTCGGCAGATGACAGGTGGGTCCAGGCCTTTCCGACAGGTGAGCAAAGGCCCTCTGCCCCCTGCGCCACCACTGTTCCAAGTGTGGTGCTTTTCCGGACCCAAACCAAGTAAATTTTTTACGCAATATTTTTATACATTTCGTAACCCTATCAGTCGATCGATTATATGGGTTCAACGATTACCAGAGGCTAAATATATAATTATATTATTGTGAAAACCATGTACAGTTTGTTAAAATTGGAAGCGTGTAAACTTATTGGTAGTGGCTATCGGCACTGCCGCAGTGCCGATTTGGCACTGCCGCAGTGCCAAAAAAAGCTGCCGTTTTCTATCGGCACTGCCGCAGTGCCAAAAAGCTGCCGTTTTCTATCGGCACTGCCACAGTGCCAAAAAGTTGCTGTTTTCTATCGGCACTGCCACAGTGCGAAAAGCTGCTGCTAATTAATCGAATCGATGTTTTCATTGATAGATGACATTGGTATAATTCATAATTCATAATTTTATTTCACTCAAACGTAATGAGACTGGTTAGGCAAAAAGGAACATGTCCCTGTACAAGACGCCTCCCAGAGAAACAATAATGTTAATGGCAGACATAATAATAATAATAATAATAATAATAATAATAATAACAATAACAAT